AAGGTGTGATTCATGGGATGTATTCAATCCAGACTCTGCAGTATTTTTTAGGATTTTAAAAGTCAATGAGTATTCAATTGGGATTTTTAAAAATCATTTAACATTTAAAGGTATTCAATTGAGATTTTTAAAAAAAATTCTAAATCTAATGACACACACACATACATACATACATGTATGTATGTATGTATGTATATATACTCCCTCCGTCTCCCTGTATTTGTCCACTTTCATTTTTGCACATCATCCAATGCACTTCTTTAATCCATTTTATCTTGTAATTTGTATATTAAAAATTATAAAAATTATATAGTAATAATCTATATGTTAAGACAAATCAAACAAGATCACACATGATTATATTTAGGCTTACACATTGAGAGCATTTAATGAGTCAAAGTGCTTAGATGAACAGTTCCAAAAGTCAAATGTGGACAAATACAGGGGGACGGAGGGAGTATATGGTAGCTTATATTGGCGCTCCACAAATGTTACTGACGCTCCACTTTACTTTTTTATTATCAAAATTTTACCATCTTGCCCCTCTCCTAATGATTCCTATTGCAAATGCCGTGAAAAAATACTCCTCAAACGCCTATGCCTTTTTTTTTTTTAAATTCTACACTCATTCTCTTTGTTTAGAACATACCTATTTTGCTATAATATACTTACTCTGTCCCCAATTTGATTACAAATTGCGGGTTACGGAGTAAATTTTCTACTTTTTTAAATTATTTTATTTACAAATTAGTATATCAATAAGATTTAAAAATTACATATTAAAAAACTACGTCAAAAGTTCTACAAAACATGAGGTGACAAGAATATTTTATTTTATCAAATACTTAATGAAGTCGCGTAAACAAACAAAAGTTATCGAGAGAAGAGAGAAAAAAATTGTAATCTATTTAGGAACGGAGGGAGTACAAAAAATCACCATAAATAGGAGATAAAATATAAAGAAAGTACATAAATACAGCCTACATCACTAGTACAAAAATGACCAAATAAATCGCCTCATTTGCATCGTTAAGCTAAACAAACGATGTAAATGCAAAAAAAAAATTCGCGTATCGCTTAGCTTTTGGATCGGTTATCCGTAATAACCGATGCAAAAAGTATTTGAATCGGGTATCACGGATAACCGATTTAAAAGCCGACCATCTTTTGGATCGGTTATTGCTTATAACCGATTTAAATACCTTTTGAATCGGTTATTAGTAATAACCGATCCAAAAGAGTGTGATAAAATTAGCCAACCCTACCTTATCCTTACGCGTTTTTGAAAAAAAAAACCTCCAATTCCGTTCTTCGTCTTCGTCTTGCTCTTCGTCTTCGTCGTGCTCTTCGTCGTGCTCTCCGTCGTCTTCAACTCCACACCACGCTGTCGCCTTTCCCATGTCGCCCCCAAATCTGGTCTAATTGCGCCGCCCTCGTCCACCTCACCTCGACGTTCGCCGTTGTTAGTGTCGCTGTCTCCAAGGGAACGGCGACAACGTCGACGACCACCTCACCCTGCNTTTTTTTTTCAAAAACGCGAAGGATAAGGTAGGGTTGGCTAATTTTATCACACTCTTTTGGATCGGTTATTACTAATAACCGATTCAAAAGGTATTTAAATCGGTTATAAGCAATAACCGATCCAAAAGATGGTCGGCTTTTAAATCGGTTATCCGTGATACCCGATTCAAATACTTTTTGCATCGGTTATTACGGATAACCGATCCAAAAGCTAAGCGATACGCGAATTTTTTTTTTGCATTTACATCGTTTGTTTAGCTTAACGATGCAAATGAGGCGATTTATTTGGTCATTTTTGTACTAGTGATGTAGGCTGTATTTATGTACTTTCTTTATATTTTATCTCCTATTTATGGTGATTTTTTGTACTCCCTCCGTTCCTAAATAGATTACAATTTTTTTCTCTCTTCTCTCGATAACTTTTGTTTGTTTACGCGACTTCATTAAGTATTTGATAAAATAAAATATTCTTGTCACCTCATGTTTTGTAGAACTTTTGACGTAGTTTTTTAATATGTAATTTTTAAATCTTATTGATATACTAATTTGTAAATAAAATAATTTAAAAAAGTAGAAAATTTACTCCGTAACCCGCAATTTGTAATCAAATTGGGGACAGAGTAAGTATATTATAGCAAAATAGGTATGTTCTAAACAAAGAGAATGAGTGTAGAATTTAAAAAAAAAAAAGGCATAGGCGTTTGAGGAGTATTTTTTCACGGCATTTGCAATAGGAATCATTAGGAGAGGGGCAAGATGGTAAAATTTTGATAATAAAAAAGTAAAGTGGAGCGTCAGTAACATTTGTGGAGCGCCAATATAAGCTACCATATACTCCCTCCGTCCCCCTGTATTTGTCCACATTTGACTTTTGGAACTGTTCATCTAAGCACTTTGACTCATTAAATGCTCTCAATGTGTAAGCCTAAATATAATCATGTGTGATCTTGTTTGATTTGTCTTAACATATAGATTATTACTATATAATTTTTATAATTTTTAATATACAAATTACAAGATAAAATGGATTAAAGAAGTGCATTGGATGATGTGCAAAAATGAAAGTGGACAAATACAGGGAGACGGAGGGAGTATATATACATACATACATACATACATGTATGTATGTATGTGTGTGTGTCATTAGATTTAGAATTTTTTTTAAAAATCTCAATTGAATACCTTTAAATGTTAAATGATTTTTAAAAATCCCAATTGAATACTCATTGACTTTTAAAATCCTAAAAAATACTGCAGAGTCTGGATTGAATACATCCCATGAATCACACCTTTTTTGTTTTAAATTTGTTAAAACCTCCTCCATTCTAAAAAGATTTTCTCATTTTGATTTTTAGAAAATTTAAGAGAGTGATGTTTTTGTGTTGACTTTTCAAAAATATCATTGTTGTGATGGGTAAAAGTAGAATGTGATGTGTAAATTTTTAGTAAAAAAGTATGATGTCATTTGTAGGTTAAAAATATGTAGGGGTAAAAATAGTTTTCTAATGGAAATGAGAATGATTTTGTGGGGTAAACAAAAACAGAAAGGAAAAGGAGATTTTAGAACGAATGGAGTATTTGTTTTTTTTTGCACTAAAAAAAAACATTTTTATATAGTGAAATTTGCACTAAATAGGACTAAAACATAATGACTTTCCTAATGTAGGACTTAAACTTTTTTATTTCCTAAATAGGATTTAATAATGACCTAGTGGAAGGAATAATGTCCAGCAATAATAGACATTTAGTTGAATAATGACTACTTGAAAATAAAAACATATGGTCCTATATTGGAAAATTCATTATGTTTAATTCCTATTTAGGCTCTTTTATATATAAATTCTCGGAGCTCAATGCCTAAACTTGACAAGGGAATCGAGAGAGTATATGAATTGGCATATGCGACCCTCTCAAACAAAGTAAGGCATATGTTGCCGTGCCACTTGCCATGTTCGAGAGTATTTTATGTTGTTCACTCAAACAAAGACGAGCGATTGGCTTTATTCCACAAAGGAGGCAAATTGGAAGGAAAGAAAAAACCCAACTAGCTAGTCAACTACTCATCTAGTCATCTCATCTATTTTGTAAATCACTTTGATCTCTTTTAATTAAATTTGATAAACTTTGATGATTAATTAAATAAGACTATAAGAGTTACTCTTTATATCCCATATTTTTCTTCCAATTTGACTTGTCCCAGTTTTTAATGCAACTCTTTGACTATTAATTAATATCGTAATTTTTATATAAATATAGACTATAAAAAATAAAAATTTATTGATATTAAATTTACGAGAGTTTTTATGATGCACTTTGAGTGCATATCATTTTTGTGCAATTTCTCACATAAATTTTTTTTATTAAAAAATTAGATGTTTGTTTAAGTAGTAAGAAAATGTTTATTTTGCTCAAATGTAGGCCCATTGTGAACCTTAGGTCTACCATAGAATTTGTCTAAATTTATACTCACTCCAATCCGTTCCTAATTCATTTTCCTTCTTTGACTTCCACACACACTCTGTTCGTTCCTAAAAGAATTACGTTCTTTTCTTTTTTTTTTTGTCCAAAAAAAAACTACATCATTCCATTTTTGGAATGTTTTCCATAAGAAAATTACCATCCTATCCTTCTTTTCATCCCACATCCCATCATTATCCACGAGCCCAGAGCGTAGACACCTAACCCTACTTTCTCTTTCTTCTTCATTGTTCGCCTCCCTCTTCTTCTCTTCTCTCTTCCATTAATCTCATTTCAATCTATTGTTTCTCCCTTACCCGTCTCCTTCTGTCCTCCGTCTTCATATGTCTAACCGAAATCGAGACCCTTCAACGCTAACATATGATTTATCGTCTCAAGGTTTGCGCTCAAGATCTAGTTCTCCTCCGCCACTTCGATCTAGATATCCTCTACTCTTGCCATCTAGTTTGGCCTTGAGGTCTTTTCATTATGGTATTTTTAGTGGTCTAAGATTAGTGATGCATTTTGTGTTCTGAAGTAAAAGACGAGAAATTTTGATTGTGAAGTTGAATGATATAGATTCCAGTTGAACCGTAGTAGACTTACACCATGGAATGTAACCAAAGTGTACATCAAGAATATACACTAACATTTTGAAGACTCACACTAGCACAAAATGTTAATGCGATAAAAAATTTATACTAACATTTTATATCTGTGTGAATCACGATTCTGGTATCACTACATCCATTCACTTAATGGACGATCCAAATGGAATATTTGCTAGGGATAGATATTTGGCTTTTTATTCAACAATTTGCCTTGAATTGCGCGCCAAAACGAATTTTTCACAATCCACGTGGACCAATTTTATAACGCCACGTCACCATAAGTCCCGTGTAAGCTAACCCCTACCCCTTGCAAATTTGCAATTATCCATTTCGTCCGGCCAATCACCAACCCATACGGCCGGACATAAAAGCGTATACAGTATAAACACAAGTAGTATAATTCTCAATTCGTATAGTACAATTGAAGCCTTCTACCATTCCGTGTTTTTTCCGAGCAATGGACCTCCCGGACGTGACGTCACGGAGTTCCGGTCACACGTCGGAGGAAGATGACAGTCGGCGGATCAGGAAGCTTGTCGACCGCCGCATACGGCAGCTGTCGCTGCACCTCCCCCCAGAGCTGTTCCGGGACCTTCAGGAGGATCGCGGCCTGGATATGGTAGTATGCGCGGCGAAAGTGAAGGCGCTGAAGGTGAGTACGGGGATGCTGCCGGAGTACATGAAGGGGAGGCACAGAGACATCCAGGAGAAGGTGTATGAGTACTTCAATTCCAGACCGGAGTTGCAGACGCCGATTGAGATCTCGAAGGATGAGCATAGGGAATTGTGCATGACGCAGCTAACAGCTCTAGTCCGCGAGGCGGGAATAAGGCCGTTCAAGTACGTCGTGGAAGATCCTGGGAAGTATTTCGCTATCTCTGAGGCCATAGGAAGCGTTGATATGTCTCTCGGTATCAAGATGGGAGTTCAGTACAGGTGATTTATGCTCCCTCTTAAGTTATGCACCAATGAATCTGTTATTATTTGTTATTTCATTGATGTTACTCAGATTCAATTATATGATCACAGTCCTTCTGTAATCATTAGTCTAAGTCATGTGTAAATGTCTATGGAATATGGTGGTGTTGGTCGATTTCGCTTTTATGGTGTTTGAGGAAATGTGGAGAAGTCTACTTGAAAGTAAGATGCTTCTAAATTTTGTATCTCAGTTGAATAATTTGTGACATTAAGGAGATTAAGCCATTTCATTCCAATTCGGTGAAGCTTTAGCGGCCAATAGGCTATGAGAGATGAGATTATGATGGGCTTATCAAGTTTTATGGCTGTATTTGGATACAAATGATAGTACGGACCACGGAAGGTGAATGATGACTAAAGACTTGGTATTTGCTATTATTTTTCTTAGGAAAGGTTTAATCCGACTATACTCTGTTCATCTATTGACGTGAGTACAATCAGGTTATCATAATATAACTCAGAACATAGGATTACACCTGGAGTGTGATAAATAGAAAGTTCTATAGAAATTTTATCTTTTGTTTCATAGCTAAAATTCCTTTTTATCTTAATATGGATGCAGTCTCTGGGGAGGCTCTGTTCTCAATTTAGGAACTAAGAAACACAGAGACAAATATTTCGAAGGCATAGACAACCTGGAATACATGGGTTGCTTTGCAATGACTGAGCTTCATCACGGTAATACTTGTCTTCTTCACTAAAAATGTTCTTGGTCTAAAGTATATTCCACATGAAATTATTAACAAGAGTTGCACCCGGGGAGTTAGACAACACAAGTAAATCAATGTAAAACATAAGTTATCATTTACAGCAAGTCATGAAGTAAATAGATAAGATATCCCATACTTCTATGAATTCCAATGTCCATAACATTTTGCGAGTATCCTATCTTCTTCACTCTGGACTGACATCATCAGAATGTTTTCCAGTTAGAGAAATTAATTCTTTGTGTTTTGTATCATGATAAATGTGCTTCATGTTACATTTACATAGGCATGTACTCCGAGTGATGCCATAGTGTCATCAATAGATTCACAGAGTGATATAGTATAAGCCTACGATTCTGGAATCGCTGTAATATCCATATGTTTTTGGCCTACGATTATAAGTAATAATTTTCAAGTTCCTGTTTCTGTTCTTTATAGCATCTCATGTGCTTCCTTTTTTATGCAACTGGCCGTACGCTTATGTTGTTTAATGTTCATGTTTCTAAATAGTTTCTTAAGCTTATACGTGAATGAAATATCTTCTTTGATCCGGTTTTGAACATATATGTGATTATTAGAGATCTTAACCTTTACTTTTTGGTTCAGTCCCTATGGAGCATATATTGGAAGGAGCATAACATTTTCCGAAGCCACATGGCATATTAATTATAACCTTTATTTTGCCCCCTTGTGAATATGCCTTATCTCTATCCTAATTAACTGTTATGTGTTCACAAAAAGGTTCCAATGTTCAAGGCCTTCAGACTACTGCTACCTTTGATTTATTTAATGATGAATTCATCATAGACACACCTAATGATGGTGCCATCAAATGGTGGATTGGTAATGCTGCTGTTCATGGTAAATTTGCAACCGTGTTTGCAAGACTGTTGCTACCAACTCATGATTCAGGAGGTGTTTCTGATATGGGTGTTCATGCTTTCATTGTTCAAATAAGGGATCAAAAGACACATGAAACTCTACCAGGAGTAGAAATACATGACTGTGGCCACAAAATTGGCTTGAATGGGGTCGATAACGGTGCACTGAGATTCAGGTCAGTGAGAATTCCTCGGGATAACCTCCTTAATCGGTTCGGAGATGTGTCGAAGGATGGAAAATACACAAGTAGCCTTCCATCAATTAATAAAAGATTTGCAGCCACACTTGGAGAACTTGTTGGTGGAAGAGTGGGGCTTGCATCCTCTTCAGTCGGTGTTCTTAAACTTGCTGTAACAATTGCTACTCGCTATTCTCTTCTGCGACAACAATTTGGTCCACCCAAACAGCCTGAAATCAGTATTCTTGATTATCAATCTCACCAACACAAACTCATGCCGATGTTGGCTTCATCGTATGCCTTCCATTTTGCTACACTGCGTCTGGTGGAGAAGTATTCTGATATGAAGAAGTCTCACGATGAAGAGCTTATTGGAGATGTACATGCTCTCTCAGCCGGGCTTAAAGCATATATCACTGCTTACACCGCAAAGTCATTGAACACTTGCAGAGAAGCTTGTGGAGGTCATGGCTATGCTGCTGTTAATCGATTGGGTACATTGAGGAATGATCATGACATATTTCAGACGTTTGAAGGAGACAACACAGTTCTTCTACAGCAGGTAAAACTGATAAAAGACAATTAGTCAATGCCTTGAACCGCTTAGATGGCACTTCTAGACAACGGTCACATTTCCAAAATGCAAGCAAACAGCAAGTTGTTCATATGTTAAAATCGTAATTTGGTAGGTGCAGCCAATCCATGCCAACTGAACTGTTTAAAAATTAAAATAGGGAGTACAATTTAATTCACTTATGAGAACAGAAAAAAATAATCGCAAATATTTTCTACACTGTTCTGATAACACAGTAAATTAATGAATTATGAAATTCAGAATCAATGAACTCATTAATCGTCTGGACTCAGGAGTTTCTGGACCCCAATTCTTCTGTAATTTGGAGTATGAATGAATGCCCAAGTTATTGTTTGAATTAAATTATCTCATTACCCAGGTGGCAGGGCTTCTTTTGAAGGAGTATAGAGAAAAGTTCCAAGGTGGGACACTCTCGGTGACTTGGAACTACCTAAGACAATCAATGAACTCTTATCTCTCTCAGCCTAATCCAGTAACTTCAAGGTGGGAGGGGGAAGACCATTTGCGAGATCCTAAATTCCAGTTAGATGCTTTTAGGGTGAGTATTACCAAGTTTATCTGATGCATAATGTGTTTTGGTTTAATATCAATACCTTATGGTATACCAAACTATTTTCACAGTATCGTACATCTCGGCTACTTCAAAGTGTTGCTGTTCGGCTTCAGAAACACTCAAAGACACTTGGTGGCTTTGGTGCATGGAACCGATGCTTAAATCATCTCTTGACCCTTGCAGAGTCCCACATTGAGTCCTTTGTACTCGAAATATTCATAGAAGCCGTGAAAAGGTTTCTCTTTTTAATCAATTTTTTCCATTCATTGTTTGTCTTGACAATAGTTGTTTGGGTATATCAAATGAATGCAAGGCTTAGTGCTTGAAACCTAGTGTTATTTACTTCTGGTGAAAGCATTGATTGGGTCTTAATGTTGCTACCAATGCAGGTGTCCTGATGCCAGCTCTCGATCAGCTTTGAAGCTTGTTTGTGACCTTTATGCTTTGGACCGAATCTGGAATGACATAGGAACTTACCGTAATGTGGACTATGTGGCTCCTAACAAAGCTAAGGTATTATAATTTTAAATCTACTTGTGAAAAGAATAATGCTTTGACCAGTTGGTTACATTACTATACTAGCAGTTTCTATGAACTGCCATTACTACCTGCAAAATTATAAAAACGGTGTTTGTCAGTTGAAACTGATTCTGCTGTGAAAATTGGACGAGATTATTTTTAATGTGTTTGTCAAAACTTGTAACAGTGATGTCTGACCTCTAAGGTTCTGAAATCGATACTCCGTCCCAAAATGAAGCCTGCGGCTTCGCTTCACTAAACTTAAGAAAGGTGCTGAAAAGTATTAAGTGTGTGCTCGAAATTTGTTTAGAAGAGAGAAATACTGTGAGCCACATTTTTTTATTAGGGAAGAAAGGAAGTGTAGATTTTATATTACGGCATCCGAAAGAGAAAGATGTAAACTTCAATCAATTCTCGACTCTGTAGCTGATTCTGATTTTCATTTAAGTATTTTGCTTCAGAATATTCAGATAAACACTATTCCTTTTTTTACATACAACACGAGCGATGTCAAACACTAATTTTATTTCATCACTCAATAAGTTCTCTCCAAAACACTAATTTTATTTCATCTTTGAATCAGCCTTTTGCCATGCCTTAAAGATATCTTTCTACCAAATCAATTTGTTTATATGTTTTGCGCTAGGTTGATGAATAATAGTAACAATAATAATGTTACTTTGCTGAATGGTATCCATTGTTGAGTGTGATGGTGTTGTGAATGTTGCAGGCAATTCACAAGTTAACCGAATATCTGTGTTTCCAAGTGAGAAATATAGCTAAAGAGCTGATAGATGCATTTGATCTACCGGATTATGTGATACGTGCCCCAATTGCCGTGCAGGATGCCGAACAAGTTTACACCCAATACACTCAGTTTGCCGGATTCTAGCTTTTTCTGTTCCTGTAAGAGAAGGCTATATAAACAACAAACTTCAGAAACAAAACATACCTCATACAAAAAAGCTAGTTAGTCCCCAAAACCTTGCCCATTCCTATTTTTCATCCACAAATACACACACAGACATGAGCGCGCACAAGCACACGCCTGTCCGTGTGCGTGTTTGTGTGATTAAAAATAGAGGGTGGAACACTCTACTTTTAAAATATACCTTGTCCATGTCACCTTTTACAGGCCTCACATATTGGTAAAATAAGATGAATCATTGTATAAAACACATGTTTGATCTATTGGCTATTGGCGATCTAGAAGTAACGCCATGTGTGGTCTATAGCTAATGGGAAAAAGCTAGGGTACCCCAAACTTTGTATTTCAACTTGCACACCTGTGTGACACATACAAACAATTATCTTTGTTCTCTGTGATATATTGGCGTGCAAGTTGGGGTACAAAGTTTGGAGTACTCCTAGCACACTAAACCCCTCATAGCTAATAACATTCAGCATGGGGTGTCATCCTTTCACAACTAATTGTTCGGCCGGTGCAGAGAGGCCTTCGGGGATGGGGTGTCATCCTTTCGTAGCTAATAACATTCAACATCTTGACATTGATTGCTCGTTTGAACTAGCTTTCACATTCATTTCAGCTAAACAAGCAAATGGTATATATCACACTCCCTCTATCCCAAAAAGATTGCAACATTAAGCTAAATGAAGAAAGTTTTTGAAATTTTTCAATTAATTTCAATTAAAGATTGGTATAGAAATAAAAAATAAGAATTACATATTTAAAAATCACGTCAAAAGTTCTATAAAACAAGAAGTGACAAAAGTATTTTATTTTATCAAATAATTAATGAAAATGTGAAAATAAATAAAAATTCTCGTGATTTTTAAATAGTGAAGTGTTGCAATCTTTTTGAGACGGAAGGATTACTTAGTTTTTTTTAACTATGCATCAAACTTGGTTGTGAAAGTTGTTTAGGCACGGTTAATCCAGTCATGTTTGTCCGCAACTGTTTTGTTTGCCACGGTTAATGACTCCCGGCCAGTCACAAATACGTAACTACGGTCATTAAAAAAAAGGTTTGAGCTTCTATTTGGTTGTCTCTCAATTGCGGTGAAGTTTAGCCACAATCTCAACCGTATGTCACTTTCAAGCAAGATTGGTTTGTTCAATTTCTTGGTTTTGTTTTGCTTTGTTGTTATGTTCACTCTTCCTTTCATCAAATTTTGATGACTTTTTTAGGACATAATATTTTGTTATATATTTTAGTTTAATTGGAATAAATATTTGACCAATGGTATTATAATAATCATCAAAGAAGTCTGGTGGTATGAAATGCATGCTTAATTAAGTTTGTTATGATAAAAATTCCGTTTTAATGGGGGTTTCAAGGAGGCTGTGCCCCCTTGGCAGGGGTTCGGGGGCAGTGTCCCCGAATAAGGTTCAAAGGGGCGGCAGCCCCTGTGGGGTCCAAAGTTTGGTTGAAACTGACTGAGTTCAAAAAATTCACCATTATATATATATATATATATATATATATATATATACACACACACACACACACACACACACACACTTGTTCTAGATCAATAATTTGAGTTTTATCCGATTAATTTTTTGATTGAATGCCCAAAATAATCAATCTAATGTGTTTTCTCGACTTTCAGATTAATCCGTGTTATCTATGATTCCCCCAACATATTTGGTTGTCATTTTATGTTCAGTTGCAACTACCCTTACGTTCATAGGCCCGACATGAGACAGAGAAAATAGACTCTTGTGTCATAATGAAATAAATTCTATTATTTTGTTTTTTTAACAATAATAAACATTATAGAAATAAAAATAATAAAATTTCAAATTCATAGTATATATACAAAAAAATTAGGTCCCCTTCGAAAACGGGCCTTGGTCGGGTGACCACCCTGTCCATGCCTCAAGCCGCTAGGGGTGGCGCCAGTCTTAATTTAATCAGGTAACACGTCATCCAAGTTTGGGATGCTTGTTAGTTGCCAGCTTGGGAATCATTCATCATAAATTTTCGGTCGTTCGTTTGCTTGGTCAGTCACCATTGTCTGGCATTGTGGAAGCAAATTAAGTGTCGCCCAAATTATTTACCAATTTGTTTTTTTAATCCTAGTTTTATTTTTTATTGTTTAAGCTGTGATTGGTAACTTTGTATCTCAAGTTAAAGGGGAGTGTTAGCAAATGTATTAGGTTTCAATATAATGGACTTACATAATGAGTTCACCATTTGGTCTCTTGTATGTATCACAAATTGTGTTGGATATTAGACTCGTCAACCTTTGACAACTTGTATGAAAAAAGATAGTTAAAGTGTTGAGTTTAAGAATGTCAAAATTGTTGGAAACTCGGGAAGGTCGGTAACGCTGCGAGGCAGTGTTAGAGAATCAGTATATATATGAAGAACGTGAAGAACAACTTGATAGACTTAGCAAAACGCGTATAAAATGTTTTTAGATTGAAATTATTAGATTATACTAAAATACTTCAATCAGATAAGACGTAAGTAATCTATAATGAGTATGCAATTTCCTGTCAAGGAATATAGCACCAAATTTCCCACGCAACAGAAGCAACAAACTAGTAGTCAAAGCATCGCATTACAACATCAGTCCTAGACCCGCATACAATATTTAGGTACAAAGAGAAAACTTCTAAATCTCCTAGTACAATTAAAAAAAACACCACCAATAATTCATTGCCAGGACCCTTGAGTAATCTCTAAAATATTGTAGAAGTAAACTTGTTGTACAATCCCTCGCAAGAAAGAAAAAAAAAACACACGGCTGGACCTTTTTTGCCTTTGTTCGTAGCTTGTTGTTCTCTCTCCAGTACGCCAAGCCATGCAAAAAAAAACCTTTAAATAGGAAGCCAAGCCATGCAAAAAAAAACCTTTAAATAGGAAGCCAAGCCATAATTGCCAAGCCGTCATATACCTTGGATCAAACATTCAAATGTATTGGTCCGCTTTACAAAGGGTGCTAGAGATAAACATTACATTCAAAGGATTTTCATAAAATAATGATGTCCAAAATAAAAAACTTTTGTGTCCCGGCAGCTCGACCCCGGCTAGGGGCTCCGCCCCATGGACCCTGCTGGGGGCTGCTTCCCCTTTTAGCCTGCTAGCGGGAGCTGTCGCTCCCTGACCCCGCTATGAAATTCGTAATACCGTTGAACGAGCGTGCATTTCAAACTCGTTAACAATGTATGTTTAAGATTTTAAGTTCTCGTCCATTCTAAGTAAATCAAATTACGCAAAATAATCAATAACATTAAAATCACCAACAAATAAAAAACTGGACATAAAGATAGATGATGAATCTAGTTTGTACTTAACAACATATGGATTGTTTCGTACGGAGTAGTTCTTAACTTCTTACCATTCGAAGGAAGGGATCTAGATGGACACTCTTACCAAACTTGATAGGAAAGAAGAGTATAAATATTGTAGGTTTTGAGAGAGATCAATTTAAAAATTGTTCAAAATAAGAGAAAAATGTATAGAAAGTAGAAAAACAGAAGTTCATATTTTTAACCCCTACAATCAAGTTTGCACCGTAACAATATGACCCTATTTTACAATATTTTTTATATAATATGTTACATTATTGAGATTGTAAGCTTTTATTTTGAAAATAAAAAAAACATAGAGATCTTATTTTGGTATTTATGTTTTGGTCATAGATACTAAGTACTGTTTTTTTCCATCAACTTAAGCTTCTTAATATTGGAAGGAGTTTTAACTACGTAAGAAATTGTATATATTTTAGGGAAACAAATATTAAAAAAAGAAAGGAAAACACAACTGTTACCAAAAAAGAACTCTTTTTAATCTTTCATTTAATAATAACTCCAAGGATTATACTCTTTGTACACTATAAACAACAATCTCATTTTTTGCATTTTACAAACAAGATTTGTCTTGCAGATGAATCTTGTCTGTGAACACACAAAAAAGTGATTGGTGCACCAAAGATGTACATCAAGCATAACCCCAACTCAAAGGGCCAATAAAGTTATAAAGAGTCAAACAAGACCATTCCCAATTTCAAGAACCTTTTTTGCTTGTACACATTCAAATGCCAAAGGATCTTGGGGGAGGCCTATAGTTCACATATGCATTTCTAGCAGACTCACATTTCTGTCTGATGTCTTCACACATTTTCAGAGAAGCCTCGGAAAACCGGTTCAACCTGTCGAGAACTATGGTCAGACTCGCATGAACCCGGTTCAAGCCCGACGAAGAACCGGTCATCTCATGCTGGCTCTTGTCCCCCCCACCCACCACAGTTTCCTCTTTATCATCATCATCACATGGCTGGTGGCGCAGGTCCTGCAGAAGGGCTCTGATGGCGTCATTGAGTTCTTGGGAGGGGAGAGACTGAATCCCGGATGCCCAATCACGGCAGAGGACGAAAACGGGCGGGGCTATGACCCGGCGTGGGGAGAAAGCTCTTCTGCTCTTCCTCTCAGCAGGCTGCATGATGCAGTTCTGCAGCCAGCTGTTGAGAGCTTCCACGTATGATGTCTGGCTGTTGATCCAGTCCGTGAAGCTCAACCCGAAACACTCCACTTCGTCCATTAGCTCACCCAATATCTCCTTCTTCTGATCCTCTCCTTGGGGATTGCTAGTTGCGCAAGTCTTGGCATGGTACGCTAGCGAGATCGTTATGTACTGTGCATGGTGGCATTCAAGCATCGCCCTCCACATCCGTATCAACCTGCTTAATAATACAATGGCTTAGGCCTTAAGATATCACCCAAAATAGGAGTAAAAACATAGAGAAAGTACCAAAACAAGAGCTACATGTTTTTAACCCCATAATAGGAGTTAGCATTGTGACACTGTGGCACTGTATATTGGCATTCAAGAGTGTTTCTTGATATTATATGTTGACATTATTAGCATTATAATTCGGAATAAAAACATGAAACTCCTATTTTGGAAATTTTTTAATGTTTTGCTCCTACTTTAGTCTCTTTCCCGGCCTTAAGAAAAAAGGCTTCGATTTACTTATTTGGTTGAAATGGACGTTACTAAATGCTCTTTGTTTAAGACAAATAACCATTACCAAACGGGTGCCAACTAAAAATTTAAAAAAATATATATATCCAACTTTACCCTTGAATAAGTTCCATAAGTTGAGGCAAGAGTTCGTCGTCCCTCATTTTCTCAATCCGCTTTGATATTGAATCAACGGCATAAAGCGCAACCCTAATTCTGGAATGCAGATCTTTCACCACCGCTCGGGTTTTGTCTACTGCTTGGGAACTAACATCTTTTGCAAATTGGTGTCTTAGCCTGGTGCACTTTCGGTCATATTGCCTTCTGAGAAACTCAATTGCCTGCAAAAGATATAAATCAATATTCATTCCAAAGAGAATAATACAATGGAATTGTTAGTCATATTCATGATGAAGTCAAAAAAGGAATGACACAAAACTCACTCTCACATAAAGATGCAAGCCTTCATTATAATCAGTTGAAAGTAAATGAAGCATATACTATTTTGGATTCTGGGGATTATTTGGAAAAAGAATAAATTATTAGTATACATTTCCTAGATCTTCATTA